AAATACCGAAATATAACAGATATCTTATAACACATTTATCACAAATACCGAAACCTAAACAAATACCTAAGAACACATTTATCATAAGCATCAAAACCTAAAAAGATACCTTATAACACATTTATCATAAACACTGAAACCTAAACAAATACTTTATAACGCATTTATCATAAACACCGAAACCTAAACAGATACTTTATAACACATTTGTCATAAGCACCAAAACCTAAAAAGATACCTTAAATACATCTACCATAAACACCGAAACCTCAAAGATATCTTATAACATATTTATCGTAAACACCGAAATCTAAAATAATACATTATAACATATTTATCATAAACACCGAAACCTAAACAGATACTTTATAACACATTTATCACAAATACCGAAATATAACAGATATCTTATAACACATTTATCACAAATACCGAAACCTAAACAAATACCTAATAACACATTTATCATAAGCATCAAAACCTAAAAAGATACCTTATAACACATTTACCATAAACACCGAAACGTTAAAATATACCTTATAACACATTTATCATAAACACCGAAACCTAAACATATACCTTATAACACATTTATCGTAAACACCGAAACCTAAACATATACCTTACAACACATTTATCATAAACACCGAAACCTAAACATATACCTTATAACACATTTATCATAAATACCGAAACCTAAACATATACCTTATAACACATTTATCATAAATACCGAAACCTAAACATATACCTTATAACACATTTATCATAAGCACCGAAACCTAAACATATACCTTATAACACATTTATCATAAATACCGAAATATAACAGATATCTTATAAGTCATTTATCATAAATACCGAAACCTAAACAGATACTTTATAACGCATTTATCGTAAACACCTAAACTTTAAAATATACTTTATAACACGTTTACCATAAACACCGAAACCTAAAAATATACTTTATAACACATTTACCATAAACACCGAAACCTTAGAAGATACCACGTAACACATTTATCATAAACACCGCAATTTATAAAATTATCTTATGACACATTTACCATAGACGCCGAAAACTAAACATGTGCCAACATAAACTATAATTAGAGATAGTGTAAATCACCAAACCGTTTTTATAACAATTTATTTAAATGATATGTCGAACGTTCTTCTGCAGTTTGTTCATATCAAAAATGATTACAAAAAAAAGAGAGGAACATCAAGTTTAAGAAATGTAAGCCTATATAACCATGTACGAAGGTGCTATAGACAAAGGTTATAAAAAATATAATTTCATAAACTAAGGTTAACGAGAAAAAAACAGAAACTGAAAAAGGTTGAGGGTGTTTTGACTGTGTTCTAAATGTCTTGAAGCTCCAACTCCCAACAAACGTATGAACCCACAAGCAATATGGTGTATAAACAGTTTAAGAAAACGTGTCATATGAACCTCATAGATATTTCTATGGTTAAAGGTCACACTTTTTCTTCTTTGTTTTGTGTAAAATTTCAACAATAATCTATATGCGTTTTGTACTAGTTGTCGCTGTTGTTTTCTTACTGAAAAGATGGTTATTCAAACTATAACTCACTAGCACTCAAAACATATAAATATATCTCCATTTTAAAGCAAGATAAGAGCCTTAACGCATTAGGCATATCAGGTTAACTGACGCCCTCTATGAAAAGTGCTAAGTTGACATGACCACTGTAAAGAACACCATTCTTTATGTTTTACATAAGACGGTAGTCTCCCTGTAAGACTGCGGTAAGTTTATGGGCTTACAACGCTAAAATCTTGGGTTCAATTCCCCACGGTGGACATAGCAGATAGCCTAGTCTGACTTTACTTTAAAGTGAACAAACAAACAAACAAACAATAAGGCGGTAAGCCATGTGTTTGAAATGTAACAACATGCCAGCTTGAAGAACACGTAGTTACAATGGCGAGTGTTAATATACATTATTCAGTTAACAGTGCAGAGTTTTGAATAAAACACATAATTACTTCTACTTAACAAATATGAAATGGTATTAAAATACATAAACAGCAATTAAAATACATAAACAGCAATTAAAATACATAAACAGCAACTAAAATACATAAACAGCAATTAACATTTCACGTGAAAAAAAATTAAATGAACAGATTAGACAATATGCTACATTCTTAAACGTTGGAGCTTCAAGACATTTATTTTTATAAGGTTTCTAATAAGATAGGAGTCGAATAATAAAATGAAAAAAAAACAACAAAAAATAATATTGCCATTAACTTATTAATTACTTGCCAGTTCCTTACAATAACTGATGTAAATAATATTGCAATTAATCCCAATAATCATTGGTCAACAGTACATAAACAAGTCAGCAATTTCAGGGTTAACTTGAACTAACGGATCCTATTCAAGACACAGGGCTTTGTTCACATTCTTTATTTGTTAGCGAAATAATTCAGACCGATTTTTATCTTATTACTTAGACTTATAGCATGATTTTATTAGTGTTTTTAACACGCTTCAAGAGTTAACAAAAGCTCCACATCCTGACCGTATGGACTCAGAAATGAGTTCCAAGTGTTAACAATATTGTATATATATTAGAAAGGGAAATACGATGGGCCTAACAAGGTCAGCTTCAAGAAGGTAATGAAGTAAGGATCAGGTGACTATTGTTTTCAAATAATTAAGCCTTTTCGAATTTCTTGTTGTTTGGAGAGTGAATTTGGTTCTCTACCTACGTTACTTAATTAGGGACTTTCTTCAATAAGAAATTTCATAATATCGATATTAACAACAAGTCCTAAAATCTGTGATAAAAACAAGATAATCTGTAAATGTTTTTTCTACATTCCTCTTAACTTGTACATTTCGGATTCAAAATCAGTGGCGTATAAAAATAACATTTCAGATGTATCTTTTGTGATCCACAAATCACTGTCCAAGAGGCCTTTCGGGTAATATCAGAACTCGTCAGTAGCTGAGATGTATTCGTATTACTTATCTAAATTATAAATTTTGTAGAATAACAAATGAGCTACATATTTTATAATCAATATTTACTCAGAAATAACGAAATATAAAACTTAGTTATACAGATTCAAGCGAGTTGCTATGAATTTAATGAAACAGTCCGTTATTGTTTCGTAGAATGTTTTATTTTCATGCGACTCTTACCTCTGTGATAGGTTGGTGGTGGTCTTGGTCAATCCATACTGAAAATTCTCGATATTTTTTACCGGGGTTAATGATAGTCTCAATTAGGCCAGCCAACAAACCCTTTCTTGTGGAAGTGGGGCTCCAATAGAATGGTGTATCTGACCAAATTGTTTCTGCTACTCCTTGTACGTGTACTCTCAATCCAAATACTTTTTCGCCGCATCTCCGATCATACTGGGGTGAAAAAATAAAATCAAGTTTTATGCCTTAATATTAAAGCTGAAAATATTTACCTTATAAAGAATATGCGTATGTATGTACATAATAGCCCCATTTCAACGCCACCGTTGAGAAATACAACATAATACATATCAATTTATTCCTTAAATATACTTGGATCTGTTTTTATATCTTATGTCCAAGTTTTGCTTATGTGAATTTTCTTTTCAGCTATACATATATCTTTTAACAAGAAATTATTATTATTTTTTTTGTTGAGTAGCATTTTGCTTACTTTTAGGGGGATTGGTAATGTTCGGATAGGAACATAATCACCCAAGAAGTTCTCATGAACTGGTACTGCAACAGCGGACCTCCTTATAAACGTTCCAGCACCGCTTTTGTGGTAGAGGATCTTGGACGTCTTTGGTTTGACAGATATACTAACAGCAGAGAATGGTTTCACCAGTACAAGGCTGACATCAACAGGAAGAGTAGCGTGGCTTTGTTGGAAGACAGTCACGCCATGCATGGTGTGTTCAGCAGGGTTGACGATGATTCCGAAAGTATGGGAGGAGGAGTAAATGCTAAATGTAATGTAAGAAATAAATTCTTCAAAAACTGGGAATAGTATTCACGCTTTAAAGAAAACATCTTCAATAACTTTCCATCTAACAGTATACATTTTGCTAATAGTGCCATAATAATTAATGATAACGATGTTCCGTTAATGTATTTCATATCAAACATATCTTAACAGCGTGCAGAGCACTCATTGAAGTATGGCCCAATGCGGACTACAGTACCATAATCACTTTTAATACCATATTGATATACGCAAAGATTTCTGTAAGTTATAATATTGTGTTAAATACAGTGTTTTACAACGGTCAATAAGTGGTTGAAATCACATTGTTATGTTTTTTTTATATGGCACCTGTTTCAAATCATTGCAATTTTATGTTGTTGTTTTTTTTTCTGAAACGAATATCGCATTAATTATACCATTTGATGTAAAGAATAAGTATTCGTATAACTTACCTAGGCTGTATGTAAGTTGAGACCTTCAAGACATCAGGAAGTAATCCAGAAGACGCAGGCACCACTTCTACTCGAGCATTTTTAACGTAAACAGATAAAATTATGGGATTTCGCTGGGAAATAAGCAATGGGAAACCCATTTCCGAAGGAACAACTTTATACATGCCCGACGGTGTGATCATCTTTACATAACGACCGGTAACTCCATTGTTCAGTTCATCAGAGATATCTCTGAGCCACTTGTAAGCTACAAAATATTGAAACAGTTTATTCTTGTAACGGCGTGCAGAATATTTTTATCCAATTAGTAGCCAGCTGATTTTGTAATATTTGGTTTTAGGCACTTAATTCTCAAAATAATAACCTTCACCCCACTTGTCTCTCTTTCTCTCTCTCTCTCTCTATATATATATATATAAAGGAAACAATATAAAAATATTTACTAAAAACTCTTTATTTGTTACTGTTAATTTGAAATAAATAGATAAAACCACAAATGCATAAAAGCATAAAATACTCATAAAATACAGGATACTCTTCAGTTTCTACAATAAAGCTTTCTCGAACAAAACCTACTTGACAATGTGAAACCGGTATTTTATGCTTTTATGTATTTGTGGTTTTGTTTATTTATTTTACATTAACAGTAATAAATAAAGAGTTGTTAAAATATTGTTAATGTGATTTCTATATTGCTTCATTTTTATTGATCACTTCCTTCAGCAATATATATATATAGTTTCTAGATTTCTTTGAGCGATTCAAACAGTATAATAACAAAGAGCAAAATTCATTGCTCAAACAATTAAATAAACGTACCCCCCCCCCGAAAAAATGGGTTCACGAGATCATAAAAATATTTTAGAGCATGTATAGTAATTTGCTATCATTTTGTTGGGGGAGGGGCGTCGTCATAGCCTCACATATTTTCAGGGAAGCAGCAAAAGAATTTGTGAATTCTCGAATTGAAGAACAATGAGAATTGCGATACTATTATGTAAGGCAAACATCTACTGCTACAGAACAGTCATACTGAAGTGAATGGTTGCGAACTGTAAATATATAAAGCAGTTTCAACCACGTGTTCGTTTACGAGCTTAACTAAATGAGTGATAATCAGGTGCTATTTTGTGAAGCTTATAATTAAGTCATATCGTCACACGTAACTGCTATTAGACATATAATGATGCCAACTACAGATATTGCAGTATTTTAGATATCAGCCCTTAAATTTACAAGTTTCATTAGTTAGGAAACAAAGTAATATCACTTATCTTTAGTTGGTTTATCTCTACTCCTTTAGTTTGATTGATTTCATATTAATACATATGTTTAAATGAGATATGATTAGTTTAATTACTTAACTAAGGAAAAAATCAACTGAAGAAGTTATTAGTTAAGTTCGTAAGTTGAAGAACTAGGTAACATTACCTGATTCCAGTATTTCTATGACATATCTCGTATCAAGTTCTAGATATGTTGTTCTGTCGAATAGCTTGTAGAAGATTGTTGCCATAAATTCTTCGGGTTCTCTTACTTCCAGATTAATTTTTTCTTTCCAACTCTGGATCTCCTCGTGCAGTGCATCCCATCGAGGGTAACTGGAGTATAACTTTGACAACACGTCAGAGTTAGTTAGAATATCAAACAACTGATCCACACCTTTGGAAGCGAATCCAATCTAGAGCAAACGATATGTAACTTCTTTATGCGATGCGAGAAAGTATTTATTGTGAAAAGTAAACACATTTTAACTGATCAGTTGGATCTTCTCTTATTAATGTTTTCATTATTCCCAACTAGGACGTTTAACATAAAGGCAAGTCAAAGAGTGACGTTCTGAGACACAGGCTTTTTCAAATTATGTTTCAAAATATTTAATGTAGAAACTATATAACTTTTATAACTATATAACACGTACCTCAATTGGTATATCGATAAAAGGGCCTGTGTTATGTAATGCTGCCAGATATCCTGAACGAGGCCAGGAGGAAACGTTACTTCGGACCATCTCATACAGAAACTGAAAACCATAGTCATGTGAAGCTGATGGAGAAATGTAACAACAAAAAGATGTCAGTCATTTTAGTGAAGCACAGGCAGCAAGTAAATTATCTGTATAATAGTACAGAATATCAAGTAAAGTACGTTAACAATCTTTTAATTGGCCTGTGATGAACTACATCGGTATGGTTACCAGAAAACCTTCAATTGGCCTGTGGTGAACTACATCAGTATAGTTACTAGAAAACATTCAACTGGTCTGTGATGAACTACATCAATATAGTTACTAGAATAGATTCAACTGATGTGTGGTGAACTGCAACAGTATAGTTACTAGCTATTCTAGTAACTACACTGATGTAGTTCACCACAGACCAGTTGAATGTTTTCTAGTAACTGTACTGATGTAGTTCACCACAGACCAGTTGAATCTATTCTAGTAACTACACTGGTGTAGCTCACCACAGACCAGTTGAATGTTTTCTAGTAACTGTACTGATGTAGTTCACCACAGACCAGTTGAATCTATTCTAGTATCTACACTGGTGTAGCTCACCACACATCAGTCGAATGTTTTATTCAACTGGTCTGTGGTGAACTACATCAGTATAGTTACTAGAAAACATTCAACTGGTCTGTGGTGAACTACATCAGTATAGTTACTAGAAAACATTCAATTGGCCTGTGGTGAACTGCAATAGTATAGTTGCTAGAATAGATTCAATTGATGTGTGGGGAACTGCAACAGTATAGTTACTAGAACAGCTTCAACTCATGTGTGGCGAACTACGCCAGCATAGTTACTAGAATAGATTCAACTGATGTGTGGCGAACTACGTCGGTATAGTTACAAGAACAGCTTCAACTGATGTGTGGCGAACTACGTCGGTATAGTTACTAGTACAGCTTCAACTGATGTGTGGGGAACTACGTCGGTATAGTTACTAGAACAGCTTCAACTGATGTGTGGGGAACTACGTCGGTATAGTTACTAGAACAGCTTCAACTGATGTGTGGGGAACTACGTCGGTATAGTTACTAGAACAGCTTCAACTTATGTGTGGTGAATTACATCATTAGAGTTATTGGAACAGCCTTAATTGATGTTTGATGAATTACATCAGTATAGCTACTAGAACAGCTTCAACTGATGTGTGATGAACTACAACAGTAAAATTACTAGAAAAACTTTAACTTTTTTATTACTCCAAATTAACATTCTTATTCAGTTTTTCAAGCAGAAAAAAAAATCATGGTCATAAAAATCTTTCTGTTTGTTGTATTTTAGATTTTACTATTTTGTATAGAAAAGGGCGAAACGTATTATTTCTCGGTCATGTGTGTAAGTATCCCATCTTTTATTCAATATTTAGACACTTATCATTCAGAAAGGTTTAAATTCGCATATGTACGATATAAACTTGGTGTTTAAAATATTTACCGTCGTAAATGTCTGATTGATAAAAGTGTGAATACTGTATTCCCAGCTCCACATGTCTGATCGAACCCACCACTTGTCGAATATTCTGAGCCCTAATAAAATTCAAAGTATATTTATTAGTTAGTTTTAATTGAAAAAAAAAGTTATAAATTATCAAAATAGCCATTAAAATCACTTTCTCTGACTCATCGCGAAAACAAAGAAGACTATCTTGTTATTTAAAAGTCACATCTCCAAGGGTGTCTTCATTCACCTTTTAAATTAGGCTTGTTTTCAAATTCAAACTAATAACTTTCCTAGAAGTTTTTTTTTTTACTTCTACTGTGAACATCGTTTCTTTCTAAAAATCTAAACACTTGGATAATTCAATAAGTCAATAGTTTGTGTTTTCCTTTGTGTTTTATTGACAAACTGAGTAACATAACAATATTAAATAATAATGTAATAATATAATTACATTTAGGTCTACAGTACAAATATATCATGTACGTTTATTTTACTGCACTTGGTTCATACCAGCTAGTAGTATACCATCAATTGTTTAATGTCACATATCTTCCAAGCAAAACTTTGGGTATAAAAATAAATAAATACATTTTCCCTGAGTCAAATCGTCCGGTGTTTGTAACGTCAGTCAACAGTTTGAGCATAACAATGCACATGACCTATCATGAGTTAGTCAGACAATGATATAGATTAAATATATTTATAATAATTATTATAATAAACTTACAACTCCTGATAGCAAGGAAGGGTTGAATTGCTCATCGCCTTTAGGGCTGTGTAGACGAAACTACTAATTTGTTTGTTCTCTTCTCTCCATAACTCAGACACCACACGTTCTAGTAGAAAAATAGATGGCTTGCTGTACAAAATCACAGTAAAAGCAGCTATCCTAACCTCATAAGGCTCTTCAGGGTTGAAGTATATAGGCACCACTAGGGGTAAGACCTATAAAGAATGAATTCCAAAAAGTCTTAGGAGCCAATATAGATTTGTTTTCAGGCTGGAATGCAATATATATATATATATATACACATATATATCAATGTTAATTTTTTGTTCCAACGATTAACATATTAAGGTTTGTTATTCAGAACAATTAATACTTGAAACTTGAGTATTCATAATATTAATAAAAAAATATACAATGAGCAGCCTCCATATTGACAACAAATTATCTAATGCAAATATTTAGCTCGGTACTATAGCAGAATTTGTTTGTTTGGTTGTAATTAAGCATAAAGCTACACAATGTGCTATCTGTGCTCTGCCAACCACGGGTATCGGAACCCAGTTTCTAGCATTGTAAGTCTCCAGACATTCCGCTGTGCCACTGGGGGGCCCTATAGCAGTAGCTGGGTGTAGCCCAATGAAGATTACATCATATTGCTAGTATAGTAAAATTTTGCCTTTAAAGAACGTGACTGTGGAACAAAACCTGTTCCTTTTATAGAATACGTAAAGTTATTTTCATATATTGTTGTGAGGGTTTCTATTGTTAAGTAATAAAAAAGGAAAGATACAATCAAAAATGGAGATTTTATATCTCATGTATTTCTTAATGGATTGCTTTGAAATCTGGTATATGAAATAATAGTCCAGTAGAGCACATACACTGAAAATATGTGATAGTTTGGATTACCACAGTCCGAGCTACAGCAAGTGGAAAATATCTAAAATAATAACGCACAGTGTGTCCTGTAGGTTGTTTTGGCCGCACAACACACTACCGTATGTTTCGATCTCCGGCAAAGAATGCCAATCACCTTTTTCCAGAGTAGGCATTATAGTCAGAACAGATTAAAAAAAAATATGGCTTTATTATTTATATTTATTTTCTCATTATGGCAATGTCATTATCGTTTAATATTAGTTATTTAAGCTAATTTGAAGAACTTGTAGTTGAAAAAATGAATCGCTTTCCGTATCAGTCAGTTGTCTAAATTTTGCAACATTGTTTTACCGAATAATTTAAAAGAACCCCGCATCGAAAGTAAGAAAACTTTATTTGATAGAAAAACATACTTAACTTTTATGTATTTTTTTCAAAGTTTGTATACTGATAGACGTTTACAACCTACAGTTGGGTGTTAAATTTGAAGAAAACTTTTGCGCACGCCTACGCAAAAAGTCACGTGAGGTATCGGTCTAAATTTTTCCCTACAGCTTCATATATGAGTAAAAGTGGACCGTTTTTAGTTTTTTGTTATTTGGATTAAAAGCGGCTGATTTAGAGCAGCAAAACTGTAGGGTGACAGAACGTGTTGGTTAAAGCAAGCAAAGTAGATTAGTAGTTTATAGCTTAAGTTTTCAAAAAAATCATAATTTTCCTAATTAAAAAGTGTTTAGTGATATTAGCTTAAGCAATTAGCATAAACAATGACGCTTAATGCGGTTGTATCGAATGCACGCGGATGATTACAAGAAACTGTTAATCTAAATTTCATGACGTTACTATAAAGGAAGCTATTAAAACTGTTTTAGAAAGGAAAATCTACCACAATATATTTTAAAGAATCTGATTGATTCTGTAAAGTAAAGGTCTGTTCCAAATAACAGGGTTGTGATGCTAAAGCTAATGTTGGTTACTGTCGAGCGTCACTTTCTTACTTGCTGTGGTTTGTTGGTGTGTATTGACAAAAAGTCATGATATCTGATCAAAAACACCTTAGGTGTGAAAAAAATGCGGCCAAAGAGGATTGATCGTGCGACTTAAAGAAATGAAATCAAAAATGTTGGTCAAACTGGTAGTTAAACTTATAGCACTGATAAGAATTTTACAGCAAATATTCATTCATTAGTTAGGTAGGTCACGTATTTTGTTTTATCCACAACCATGCTTCAAGTTGAACAAACAAACGTGGCCTAGCTAACTAATGAATGAATATTTGCTGTAACATTCTTATCAATGCTATAAGTTTAGCTACCAGTTTGGGCGGCAATTTTAATTTCATTTCTTTAAGTCGCACGCTTAAACATTTTTTTCACACCTAAGGTGCTTTTGATTATATCCTGATAAGTCTATATCTCCTGTGATTGATTCTAGGCTTAACTAACGTGTAATTAATTTACAGTAGTCCCTGATATAGATAATCTCCAGTAAGAAGTAAAGCTAATGTATACTAGATTTAAATCTTAAGATTCTTATTTCTGTCCAAACAACCTCAGATTTATATTACAGAATTTTGGGAGGTAATTGCATTTTAATTTGAAGACATTTATCTCTTGACATATAGCGTGGTTAGTCACGATCTTGAACACGTTTAACTCTTGACATATAGCGTGGTAGGCAAAATCTTGAAAACGTTTAACTCTTGACATATAGCGTGGTAGGCAAAATCTTGAAAACGTTTAACTCTTGACATATA